CTATTGCTCCATTCCACTTCATCGTCGTCAGCAGAATCTACATATGCGCTTGACCTGGTAATCTATACTTTATTTTGGCTGCATATGAGAGTGCTGTGACTGACGAATTACAGATTATGTAATGTTATGATTATGAATTATATATATATTGCAGCGACTGAACACCCATATTTGTATGGCTAACAACAAAAATAGGAAAAGAAAAACAAAATGGGAAAAGGAAACCATTTCCATCAGTTGGATATTGGCTGTGGAATGAAAGAGTTATTGCAAAAATAGTTGCTTTAATCAACGCATATCGGAGTTATAGCTATAGCTATAGAAGAAATATTAAAAATAATATGTATTCTCTAAGAAATCATTATTATACATATTTCCTTACTTCATGGTCTCCATGTAATCACCATAATGTCGATGTCGGATTTCTATTTTTTTTTTGCCCTGTTTGCCTTTGTTGATATAATCCCCGGACAATCGTCTAAATTATGCGATTCATTTTCATTTTCCACTATTTACCAAACGACTTTCGACTTTGTTATGGACCTTCGAGTGGTGAATGCTTCTGGGATGACCCCTCTGTCTGGCATCTCTATGCAAATTGCGCTCTTCCTTTCGCTCTTATTTCGATAATTATGCACTGATCTGAGGCGGCAGCCGATGCCTGTTGCTGGCAGTAGGAAAAGCCCCGGAAAATCACCACCCACCGCACAGAGAACACAGAGACGACTCGGAGCCAAGTTCGTTCGCTTCATCAGCATGTTTCGAGCTGGTCTCGTGCACTCATTGAATGTTATGAAGTCATTTGCATATTTGTTGTTTATGTTGAAAACAAGATTTCGTTATTAACTTTGCTTAATTTGTTTGCCAACGCAAATGGAAATGGGAAATGAGGGTGAGGGGTAAGGGGTGAGGGAAGTGGAGGAGGGTGATGGAGAAAATTGGGAAAACGAAAGCGAATTGAGCCATCGAGAGGGGAGAGCGAAGAAGCCCAAAAAATCCTGTTGACCGAAGCGGTTTCTTTGCCTCAATGGATTTTGGATTTGTTTGAGGCCAGCTCTAATGCACTTAGAAAAAAACCAGCTTACTCTTAAATATATATTACACTATATAAAATTAAATTCTAAAACTTAAAAGTCTTAGCTGTTATTGTTATATTCCTATTTAATAGTTAATATAAGAACTGAAAAAACAAGAAATATATTTTTTCGTGTAGGTTAAGGGTCCTTATTAATTGCAATTTGGATTGTGCATCCCCTGCCCCCGCTCCAGCAGCTCCTTTGCAACCGCAAACCCTCACCCCTTTCTTGGCGGACCAAATCCAAATCGTAATTCGGGAAAACTCCTCGAGAACAACGAGGCAACAAAGGGCCAAAAAGGGAAGCCATAAATAATGCCAAGTACTGTGTCTGCTCTCTCTCTCCCTCCCTCCGCATGTCCTTCGTGGCGTCGTCCAGGACGGACATGAAATTTGTGTTCCATTTAATTGCCGGCGGAAAAGGGAACTGGATAGGAGGGGGTTGGGTATGTCTGAATTGGATGGATGGATGAGGAGGCCATGGCATGGGTCACGATAAGATTCCGCCAAGATGGAATGAAATGCTTAAGTGGAAATTTTAGTTTGCATAAATTATGCGGCAAACGTGCAGGACTAACCCCGGGGAAACCCGAAAGGAAAGATCTCTGGCTTTGGCTTTGGGCAAGGCAAGTCTGGGTTGCAATTGAATATAAAAATATATAGTTTTTGTATTTTTCTGTATTAGTTTCTATTATTTATATCTTTATATATTTAAGCTTGTTAGATATTAAATTAATTAAGTAAAAATGAACAAAACAACTCTTTTCAAACAAAAATTATCGATTTTTGACTTAGTTAAGGTTTTTAAATTTTTGATTTGATTTTTTTAAATTTTTTATTGTTAAAATGATAAAAAATTGAATTAAATTTTAATTTATAAAATTTTAAACAAAGTATTTAGATTTAATAACCCTATAAACACTAACTTAAAACATCCTTTTACATTTCCCAAAAATATTTATATTAAAATATAAATTAATTTTCAAATTAAATTAAGTATACAGATTTATTAACCTCAAAAAAGTAAGATTTAACCACCTTGCAAACCTCAATTGACAAGAAGAAAAGCACCTGCACCAGAAGCACTTCAATGGGTAACTCTTAAGGTTATCAGACGAACAACAACAACAAAAAACTTTGCCGACTTTGCGGATGAAAGTAAAAACGACCAACCACCAAGCTCTGTCAGTCCACTGTCAAAACTTTTTTGATTATCTTAATTGCGATTACGGGAAATGCCCCGTTCCCCCTAGCCCCAAATAAAAACCCCAAGAAAAACCCACCCGATGCGTGCATAACCCCAAAAAACAGAATGCCAGACAGGACAGACAAATGGTTGGGCAAATACAATATATTTATATATGTATATACAATCCGGCGGGGAGTTGGCTGTCTCCGCAGAGCTGAAATTAACAAGATTGACCCCTCTTCGCTGAACTGTAACTGTGACTGTAAGTGCAAGTGTAGCCGTGGCAGGCAATGAAAGAAATTGGGCTATCAGTGAGCGAGACAACGAGACAAGGAGACAAGCAGGAGAAGAAAAGAGGGAAAACCGAAAAAGAAAACTTTTTGCCGGCGGCTCGAAAGTTGGGGGTTTTTTTCCCTGGCTCTGGCCAAAAGGATAAACAAAGTTTGCTCTTCTTTTTGTCCACTGCAATTACAAGAACTGACCGACCGCTGAAGTCAAAGTGGAAGTCCAAGTCCAAGTCGAAGTTGAGGTCCCCAGAGCTCCCAGAGGAGTGCCGCCACGATAATCGCAATTGGAAAATAATAATAATAGTTTGGCCCTTTCCCTCAAAGTTTCTATGATTATCTATGGGACAGGCAGCAGTCCCCAAAGACCTCTGAGAGAAATACGGCTCAGCGGATTGATGGCCTTTTCTTTATCAAAGAATATCAGCAAGTAACACTAATTTTCCCCATCGAATAATTATTGAAGACAAAGGCAAATTAATCGATTAAATTAATCGGGTTATATGAATTTACCAAAATAAAAAATAAATAAATAAAAATTATATTGTATAAATATTATTAAACCAATTTCTTGAGTCCTACAAACAGTATGATAAATCGATTAGATATCGATAAAATAATTTAAAATATTGTAATTATTTTAAAAAAATATTTAAACATTTAAATAAATATTTATATTTCTATTTAAAACTTCAACTATAAATTTGTAAATATAAACGAATTGCAGAGGGTGACTTTTGTAAAGAGCCTCCAAGAAAATGTGTTAAATTGATGAATTATCGATAGCATAAGTAGATTTATATCAACTATTTCACATATAAATATTTATATTTATTATATTTAATATTATTTTGGCAACTTCTAATGACATTTTGTTTTTTCAAACCCCAAAATGTATGCAAAATCGATTAGTTGTCGATAGTCAATCGATGTAGCACCGTAAAGCATGCAATGCAACCTAATTGCACTCGATGCCACGACTCAATGAGCAAATCAACAACCAATTTTTTGGCATGGCACAAAATCCGCATTGCAAACACACACACACACACAGACACACAGAAAGGTGAGTGTGTGTGTGCTTACAAAACCGTGAAATGCTGTAGCCCCCCAAAAAATGTTTGCTGCCTCAGCATCCACATCCACATCCGGCACTCGCGGCGAAAAACAAACAAAAACCTGAACTCGGACCGAATTATTATTATGATTACCATTAGAGCTGCTGGTAAGGAGGCTAGATGGGAGTGTGCCGGTGTGTGGTTAGTGAACACTCTGCATTTTTTTTTGTTGCAATGAAATCACAAATTTCCCGCTGCGACCCCCGTTCTATTTTCGCTCCCCTACTGACAGCTGGAAAAGCATTTCCATGTCAGGACATCGACAGTGCCAGCAAACACATATATAGAATATATGAGGACAGAGATATGGCGGTGGCATAATCCAACCATGTGTGTGGGTTTTTTTCCCCAGAAAAATGGATAATTTCAATTGCTAGAAATGCCTTGCCTGTCTAGCGATTCAATAAGGTGGAAAATAAAATGATTAAGTCAAGTATGAAACCTCTCTTGCTAAAAATAATAAATTAAACTTAATAAAAACACTAAGAGTACCAAAAAGGCAATCAATGTAAACAGGAAATACCTTAAATTTACTAAAAACAAAATGGAAAGTGCACACTCATGGCATTTATTTAACCTCTCTACCTTTTTTTTAGTTCGTTAAAACTCTCCCATGTTTACATTCTTCCATGTTTGTACATTTTCAACCAAATTAAAATATTAAAAAAATAGATTGATATGGATTTTTAAACTGCATGTTGATGGATTTATGCCAAACCAGTTACTAACTATCATGTACAGCAATTAATAGACATTTAAATGGAAACATGATGGGTGAAACTCACTGATAGTGTGGTTGGTACCTGGGGTTTTCCTGCATTCTCTTGCGCCCAGCTGCAGTTTTGGTGGCATTGACAGGATAAACCACTTTAGGTGGCTCCAAAAGACACACAAAGGGGGCGCAACCCCCTCGCTTTATGCAAATAATGGTCGCAATGTGTCACTGAGCCACCAGCTGACAGTTTGGATGAAGTGGCGCTGACAGGACGCGGATGCTACCTCTAGCTAGGATCAAACCGCACACGCACACACACACACACACACACACACACACACACACACCTCACACCCAAGAGTGTGAACGTATAAAATGTATAAAATATTGGCTGTCTACACGAAATTCTAGGCAAGAAAACCAAACCAAACCGAACTGAACTGAAGCGGGGAATTCAATTTATATGCAAATGATATGCGAGGAGGTTGAAGATGGTACCGAAAGGCAAACCCAAACCCAAACCCAAATCGAAACCCAAAGCCAATGCTCTGAAAGGACCTTGTTCAGCTATGTGAATTTTAATTATATTTATTAAAAATGTAATTATGTAAAAGAGACACGATGCGATGCGACGGGGAGAAAATGCAATAAATAAATATCCGTCCATCCATCCATCCATCTAGCCGGAGCCAATTAGCCTTGTCCTGGTGTTCATGTAAAGTAACGCACATCGCCCTCGTCGGCATCATCTTTCAAATCATAGGAATAGGTTGGCTTTTCATAGGAATAGGTTGGCTTTTCGTAGCACTTGGGACAGGACTTTTCGGTGACCTCCTCGGATTCATACTCCTCCTCCTCCTCGTATGCCTCGGTGACATACTCCTCTTCCTCCTCCTGGTAGCTATAGCATGGCTTCACCGTTGTCTTTTTGGGCTTGTTCTTCTTACTCGTCTTCTTGGCCAGTTTGCCCTCGAAGAAGGCCAGCTCCTTTTCCTTTTTGGCCTCGAAGAAGGCCAGCTCCTTTTCTTTTTTCTCATCCCACCACTGCTTGAACTTCTCCCACTCATCCTCTTTTTTCTCCAGCTTGGCCTCCACTTTTTCAGAGAACAAATTGAGGAAATCCAGTTTCTTGAGCAGCTCCTTCTGTTTTTTGGCCCCGAAAAGGTCCAGTTTCGCCTCCTTCTTATCCACTAGATCCTCCAGTGTGGGCAGGAAGAGGCCGTTGGCCATTTGCAGTGCTGCGGGTACCAAGAGTTATGAGTTATGTGTGGTGGGTGCTCTCCCTGGTGCTGTTGTTCTTGTTGTGGTAACTCACCAAAGCAGGCCAGCGCCAGCAGGATTAGTTGTTGCCCGAAACTAAGCATTGTCTCAGTGTACTCAGTATTTGGTTTCTGCTTGATTCTTGGCACTCGGGTTTCGGTCTGCTCCATCCCAGCTGGCCTTGGCTACTTATAACCCAAAAATCTGAATCCGAGTCCAAGACACTGCAGCTGCTGGAGAGCACGTGCTGCCCCTCGCCCCGGCGATAAGCACGTGCATTCGCCAAGCAATCTGTCAAGCTCGCAGCATATTTGGGCCTGCTCTGGGCGATACCGATTTTTGGGATGAGTTCAATGCTCTGGAGGCACTGGGAGAAATTTCGAGTGCCAGAAAAAGCCTACTTTTCTTTTGCTATTTATTTCTTTATAAAATTGTAGCCAATAAAATGTATAAAAAATATTATACAATTATTATATTGATTATTTGCTACAGGAATTATTGGAGAATTTCTTATTGAAGGCTTTTTTATCTAAAATTAATTCTCCGAAAACCTTAAAAATTATTTTAAAAATATTTTCTGAAAAGGCATTTCTTTATATTTGGCTTTTAATTTTATATAAAATTTTGGCAACCCAAAAAAATTGTTTTCCAGATATTTAATAGATTTATATAAAATATTATGGAATTATTTAAAATACAGTAGTTTTCTGTTTATTTTTAAAATTTAAAGAAATTATTAAGAAATTATTTTCTATAAAATAAAAAATACAAATAAAAATCTTTTTTATCTAGTTAAATAATTAAGAAGCAATTTAAAGTTATATTTAGATGCAGAAATTATCTAAAATCATATTCTAATATTGGTCTCTTTGAAAATATTTTCTAAATATTTAATTTCCCCTGACAACTTTTTTGCCGCAGTGCAGGCCTTTGGGGTCAGCTGTCACTTTGATTAGTCCGGCAGTTATTTTGATAATGTTGGCCAAGATTTTAATGCGCTGGCTTGCGACTCCGAGTCCGAGTCCGACTCCGACTCGGAGCAGGCTTTGCTAATTGACTCGACCATTATCATGGGGTGGCGGTGGCTCTGTGTAGCACAGCTATACTATGTAGCATAGTGTACTGGTGGCCTGCTTTTTGCTGATGTGTTGAAAGTGGAACTTAAATTGTATTTGCTTATTGCTCCTCCCCCACACACACACCACACTCTCTCTCTCTCCTTGGTTTGTGTATGTGGCCGGGTGTGTTTGTTTTGGGCAAACAGTTTGCCAAATTAATTGCACACCAACTGTTTATTTGCCTGTTTGTCCGCTTGTGTTTTATGAGTTTTTCGCCTGTTTCCCTGTTTCAGGTTCGGAGTTTCCATTTTGCTTACCCCATTTGCTTCCTCAAACTTTGCCCCATTAATGAGGGGAGCAGGAAGGGAGGGAGGAGCAAAGGGGAGTGGAGAGGAGCTCACGAGATTGGAATGTGTATCCCTGTATCTCTGTTGAGTTGTCTGAGCTGTTGCCGCACGCAAAATAATTATCTCCCTCAGTTGAATAGAGATTTTTGTTCATGGAAATATGCCCTAGAGAAAGGAGTAGAAGGAGGTCTTGGCTCTGAAGGAAAAATTGTATTTTTACCTGCATTATATTATATATAAATATATAATATATTTAATTCTTAAATATTTATTTTATAATCACTTTAATCGAGTTGAAAAAACAGTCATCAACCAGCTAACTTTTTCAACAATGTTATGGAAAATGGGTTAACCAATATACCCTACAGTTTTACCTCACAAAAAAGTATTTCACTATCTATTTCACCCTAAAAAACGAAATTATTTCTGTTGCTTTGTTCGCGACTTGGGTGTTGACACGCTTATTGATATAATTGTTGCTAATTTTTATAGCGACGACGAGTCTTATTACACTTGAAACAATTAAACAGTAAAAAGTCAACTACATTTTGCGAAATATTTCTGTATTTAATAATGATTAATATGCGAGCTTAACTATTGAGATGTGGAGCAGAGTATACATATGCATATGGCTCTAGGTCCTTGGTCCTCAGTCTCCTTTTTGCTGGGTACTTTCAGCAGTCCTTCTATCTACTTGGGGATCCTGTTATTGGCGAAATTTCCGAGCTCGAGGGGCAGCCCCAATTGGGGTTCCAGGACATTGTTCGAGTTTAGGACAAGTTCGTCGTAGTCATCGCTAAAATCATCGCCATTCGTCGTTGTTCTGACTGTCGTTGTTGTGGTAGTTGCCTCCGTTGGGGCATAGGTGGTCCTGCGGCGATATTTCCTGCCCCTACGTCCCTTGCGACCTTTTCGCATCCTGCGCTGCGATCCACCAATCGTGTTCGATTGGCTGTAGATATTTGGATAGGGTTCCATTGTGTAGACGGTGTACGCGGGTGGTGTAGTGCTCGTTGTAGTTGTTGATTCTGTGCTAGTTGTTGTTATGGGTTGAGTTGTGGATTCTGTTGTCGTAGAAGTCTCGGCAGCTAATGTGGTTGGTGTTGTGGTTGTAGTTGAAGTTTGTGTAGCTACGGTTGTGATTGTGGGTGTTGTTGTTGAAGTCGGTGTGGCTGTACTTGTGGACAATGTTGTTGTAGAAGTCGGTGTGGCTGTACTTGTGGACAATATTGTTGTAGAAGTCGGTGTAGATGTACTTGTGGACAATGTTGTTGTAGAAGTTGGTGTGGCAATTGTTGTAACTGTAGGTGTGACTGTTGAAGTTGGTGTGGCTGTGCTTGTGGACAATGTTGTTGAGGATGTTGGTGTGGCAATTGTTGTGACTGTAGGTGTAGTTGTTGAAGTTTCAGCAGCAACAGTAGTAGATTGCAGTGTTGTGCTTGATGTTTCGGAAGTGCTTGAGTTGTCTGAGGCTAATGTAGTGGTCTGTGCTGTTGTTGTGGAAACTTGATCAGTGGTTGTTGTTAATTGGGTTGTTGTTGTTGTAGCTTGTTGTGTAGTAGTGGAAGTTTGTGTACTTGTGGTTGTAGTGTCTTGCGTTGTAGTTGAGTCTGTAGTGCTAGCTGTTGAAGTTTGCTGGGTAGTAGATGTAGTAGATGATTCGGTGGGTGTACTGGTAACTGGCTGTGCAGTAGTAGTTTCTGTTGTTGAAACTTCAGTAGATGTGGATGAGGTCGCCGTAGTGGGTGTTGTTGATGTGTCGATGGTGGTGCTGCTGGAGGAATCGGTGGTATTAGCCGCTGCTTCGGCAGCTGCAATAATCTCACTAATGCTAATCATAATGGTCTCATTCAGTCGGGTTTCATTGGCCGACTGCTGTTGATTATTCGAGCTGGTGATCGTGGCCAGAAAAGTGGAATCCTGGCCCACTGTGGTACAGAGCTGGCAGGCTAAAAAAGCACGGAATTAGCATCACATGGCCAGAAGCAGAGCCACCACTAATTACCTAATGTTGTCACCACAACGAGGGCAATTAAATGTTTACGTGACAGCAGCATTGTCGACGTGCTGCCTTCGTTTCCTTTCTTTGGCTTGGCGTTTCCTTAATTAGCCCTGAATCGAAGCGATGCGATGTGATGCGATGTCGTCTCGGGGCGTACTGCTCTATAAATTTGGCTAATTGAACTGATTTTCCAAGAGACCAGTTGGTCCAGTTTTATATTGATGTGCACTGGCACCACGTCCGGAAACGTGTGGTCCGTACGTGCGATTGCCGATTAACTTATCGCTCTTCCCAACGATTCCAATCTCGATGCGCCACCTGCTCCACTCTCGCTCTCGATCGTTGGGGTATTTCTCCACTCTCGGACCCATTGAAGATGTCTCGATATTCGTTCCCCTATTTCCCATACCCATTCCCCATTCCGGAAGTAGCATAGGTACACTTGTTGGAACATAGTACTTGCCGGATGCACTGCACTTGTCACGTAATCTTGGCCAACTTAGCCAAAGATAAAACTAAAAGTAATACTCTTGGTGCCAATGCAGTTCAATTGATCATTAAATTAATTAAAAAATATTGCTTATAATAAATTTATGTATTATTAAAAGCAAAATAACGCCAAGCTTAGAGCTATTTGTAAGCATAATTCTATTAAATAAATTAAACAAATATTTTGGTTAACTCTAACCCTTTCTATATATTATTTTGTATCCACAGAATAAACACAATTTAAAGTAATATATGTTTGCTAATAGGCAGCTGTGACAACACATTAATTTTCCACCCATAAGTAGTGGCCTTAATATCGTTTAATTGTTACAAAAAAAAGAAGAGAAAAATCGAAAAATGATTTAATAAATGCATTAAATAAATCGAATGCGATATAAACAGACACTACGGCATCAGATTAGCACTGATAACAAGCAACGAATGCCATGGAAATTGTTTAATTGTTGGTGTTAAAACAAAAACACGCAGTATTTTAATTAAGTATTTACATGCCCTTTCCTCCGTCACTCGCAGAGAGTGGAAAATTGTAATTATTTAGCGGCGAACGTGACGAGAGCAAAATGCGAATTATAATGAAAACAATTTGCTGGGGCAAAAAAAAATATATATATATAGAAAACATAAATAATACAATGAAAATGAGGACAACAGGACTTGATGGGTGGCTTTAAAGTTTATGAATTAATATACCCGTAACCCTTATGTAATCTTTGGGCACTGAGAAAAATTATTGCAAAATGGAAAAGCATTTAACTGATAATTATTTGAATGTTAAATACTAATTAATGCTTATTTTACTTCTTATTAAATTTATGGTATAAATTTTCCAATAATCGAGGGCATCGAACTCAACACCTTTTTGTAATATTTTTTTCCGGTGCAACTGCTTTTGGAGTGCTTCAAACTTGTGACGTAGTGTGTGCCGGTGATTCCGTAACCGTGATAAGCCGTAGAGCACGCTCCGGATAGCGATTGCCGTACGTGTGCTTTGCCCAAAAAGAGAACTTCTCCGGCCGAGCACTATAAAAGCCAGAATCGATCTAGCTTTAACCAAGTAGTCGATACCTTCCAAACGTCAAAGCAACATGTTCAACAAATCTATCGTCGTGGCCCTCATTCTGTGCGGTGTGTAGACTGGATATAGTTGGCATTTTGAAAAAGGATTTCTATAATTTGGATTTAAATATTTTGCAGCCTGCTATCTGAGCGTCAGTCAGGCGAATGTGCTATCGGGTCTGGCGATACCAGTTCATGGAATTGATGCTGCCGAGCAAATTAAGAAAGATCTAACAAATACTGCAGGAGTGGGCGGAACAGGATCAGGTGTACCCGTTGTCGGGGATGTTTTATCTGGTGGTAGCCGCCCTCAACTGCCCGTACTCAGCAACGTTGGAAAGTAACTTTCTCTCTCTCTTCCCTTTGTTCAACTTTATACTACCTAATTTTGTTTCAAATTAATTTTAATTTATATATTTTTTGTAGTTTAACTTGTGAGAGTTTGTTTGAAAAATAAAACAATATTTTGAGCATTACATAAATATATTTAAGCTTTAAGCTTTGACTTGATCCCCAAACTTGCATAATTTAGAGACCTCAGCCAAAGCTAATCTGGACTACGTGAGCTGTCGAAGGCCCTACAAACACGTAGGACTACATTTTGCGACTATTTATGAAGGGCCAGGCAGCCAGCAAGAGCTCAGTTAAGACCCCCAAAGATGTCAGGCCAGAAGGTATTGTTCCTGGCCCTAGTTTGCCGTAAGTAAAGGGGAAACCTCAAGCTTTTGTGCAGGTATAAATATATATATTTGAATATTTTTTCAGTGCTGGTGACACTGGCTTTCAGTTTGCCCAGTCAGTCCCTAAATGTTACGGGTGTGACATCGAGGAAACGGGAAATTGTGAAAAGCTTTGTGGCCGAGATAAATGCCTTGATAGCCAAATTAATCAAGCAGTTGCAGGAGCTCACGGCCATCAAATGATTTTATATATACAACTAAAAGTTAATTGAAATAAAAAGTAATTTACAAAGTTTTCAATTCAATTTAAAGTTGGAAATTTCAAAGGATTCAAGAAGGAAGCACTAAGCAACAGTTGGTAATTATAGCCAGGTCTTTGAAGTATCTCAAGCTCTAGTGATGAATCTTTTTAAAGGATATGATTCAACTCTAGCGAGTCCCCCACATCATCATAATCATATTCACCAAGGGCTAACTGTATATCGCACGAGTTGGCTTTTTGCAAAACCCCAAACGCCTAAAATTATGCCATACGCCAGGGCATACTATATATACAGATATATACACACATATATATATATATAGTATATATGCACATGTATTTTGTACACAAGAAAATGTGTTAAGAAAATCTTAACGAAATTTCTCACGTTTGCCATAATTACGAGGAAAATACGTGACATGTGTCTTGACTGCGAAATTTAACCAGAAACCAAAAGCAAACTGGGGGATGATCGGGTTGGGAATCAGGGGGGTTAATGCAAATATATATATATATATATGGAGGCAATGGCAATAATACCAATAAAAATCTGTGTCCGCCCCGCAAACGCCGCCTAACGATGTAATTCATAAAAATCTCTTGAACAAATGTTTGTGACTCCTGGCTGACGGCATTAATAACGTTTTCCCTCTGAATAATTCAGTTACATATTGAAAGTGTATTTATGGTGTATGTAGAAATATATCCTCTTTTTTTGGGGCTTCTTAAAGTTGCTTGCCTTTCCTCCTCGGTAGAAAGAGATATATGGAAGCTAGCCCTCCCTGGGCGTGTTGCGTGATTGAATTGCGGCCTGATTGACAGTTGACAGTTGAAATTGATTTGGCTGTGTGCGATGGCGGTGGTTGAAACAAGCCATCCCGGCGAGAAGAAGATGTAGATGGATGTGGAGGCTGTGGGACAGCCACACTTATTAATCCCCCGAGTGCAGGCGTGCATAAGTATCGGGCAAATGGATTAGAAACTTTGTTGCTGCACTGGAAAAAAAAAAATACAAAAGCTAAACTTTAACTGGACACTGGACTGCCGCCACCCTCGTAACTGTTGCTATTTAATTAAGTTGAACGAGAGTGTGAGTGAGTGTGTTGAGTGCTGGCATATGGAGGATGGTCCAGTTGAGGGTGACTCCTTTCCCTTGGTCTCCTTGTATACATCCCTTTTCGAAAGCCTGGAACTGCATCCATTCGTTGGCACATTTGTGTGACAGTTAATGAACTGCCGTCACTCTTTCGCCTTTGTTTTCGCTAATCAAAGACGGCATGTGAGCGGCATACGCAATAAGGCGACGAAGTGCAGTCAATTAATTGATGGATGATGTGCACAATGAAAATGGGGGGAAAAGGTCCTAGGAAAATTCTAGTAGGAGGAAATCCCTCGTTAAAAACGAAAGACATTAAAAGTTTGCCAGCTAAGGGAAAATATTCTGGGTTTCTTTAGAAGAAGAAGGATCTTTAATTAGCTTTTTGTTTAATCTTTAATATAAAAAATATATTTAAATTTTATTATTTGAAAATTAAAGATTTTAAATGATTATTTTTAAGAATTTCAAATTGTTTTAGCGCCTTTTTTGATCAGCCTCGTAGATTTCTTTCCCAAAAAATAACTTTAAACCATGCAAAATTCATATTGAAATTCTAAATTCCTCTAAATACTAAAAACAGTAAAAAAACTAACTTAAAAAATACAAAGAAATATAGAATCTACCCAAGTTTAGAATACATTTTCCACCCAATCACCTGATCACCTAATAAACTCAGTTTCCAAAAGAAACACACACACAAAAGACCTTTTCAATGAGACTTTTGAATACATTTTGTAGTATTTTTTCTCTCTCTCTCTTTGCCAGGCTATTTAGGCAGGACAATTGTCAACGTCTGTTGGACCGGCGGGGGCTCATCAAGGATCCTGGGTCCCCTAGCCAGTTGCACATCCGGGTGTGTATGTATTGATTGCTTTGACAAATCTGAGGCTCGTGTAATTTCATTACAAAACCCCCGGAAACGGCCTCGGCACGGGGATTACCACAAAAGCATTTTTCGAGTCGTCGTCGTCGTCAATATTCCCCAAAGTGTAGCAAGGACACCAAAAAGATGAGGACTCTCAGGGACGCGGGGCCAGTGTCTGGATGGGATGATGCTGTGTGCTGCAGATGCCTTTTACCTCCCCCCGAGTGTGCGTAGGAAAATTAAATTCAATTGTGTGACAAGTTAATCCTATTTCTCATCTCCCAACTTTTATTTAAGCTTCATTCTTTATGCATTACATGCGAACTCCGCTTCGAGTGGCATGGCAGTCCATCAATCAGTCAATCAGTCAGTCAGTCAGTCAGTCAGTCAGTCAGACGAAGTGTCTGTCTGTTGGGGAGTCAGTCATAGGCTGTCAGAAATGTTTGATACGCCGCTGCCGGGACTCATGTCTGCCTTTTTGGAGGCCAGGGGGAATGGGTGAGCCCAAAAGTGAAAGCGAAGGGTTGCTCTCTCGGAGCAGTCCCACGGGATTAACCGGGGTTGGGGTGTCTATGCCCTCATCCCGCCCTCGTAGCAACACTTCATTAAACGCATAAAGCAATAAAATGTTCGGTGAACACAACAAGGACCATCGCCATTTCGAAAGGATGCGAAAAAGGCTTCTTCTACGACTGTCTGACAGCTTGACGTTGCCTGCTAATGGCAGAGGCGGCAGCATCAAGAGCAGGAGCAGCAGGATCAGGTGCTGGAGCAGGAGCAAAAAGGTTACCCTCTCATATACCGGCATCTTTCGATTGATACACTTGAGTTTGGGAAGCCTTAAAGGTGCCAGACAGAGCACTTGAGGGGAAAAATCTATACAATTTTTGGCAAGCAGATTAGCTGGCAATTTTCTTTAAGCAAAAGGAATCCCCAGAAAGGATAATTTTGTAGTCAAAAAAAAATACTTCGAGTCTAGAGATAACACAAGCAATAATATAAGTACATATAAATAAATAATTCATTAAAAAATTAAAATGCAAAAAAATTATAAAATAATAAATATATATTTAATTAAAATTAAATTTATAAAATAACTGAATAATTCATTTAAAAATAATAAATAAATAATTAATTCAAATATAATAAATAAATTAATAAAAAAATCGCTCGCTTGACACTATAATTCCCAACTAGTTCTAGCATCTTCAGAGTTGTAACCCAGCTGAATGTTGAGGTCGAGTTTGTGGTTGTGGTGTGTTTGTGTGGTTGCTCTTTCATAAAAAAAAACTACTACCTGTTGTGTTGTTGTTCTATCTCTCTTTTGTGCTTAGTGCTATATATTTTTTATACCCTTGCAGGGTATTATAATTTCAGTCAGAAGTTTGCAACGCAGTGAAGGAGACGTTTCCGACCCTATAAAGTATATATATTCTTGATCAGCATCAACAGCCGAGTCGATCTAGCCATGTCCGTCTGTCCGTCTGTCTGTCTGTCTGTCCGTCTGTCTGTTTCTACGCAAACTAGTCCCTCAGTTTTAAAGCTATCTGAATGAAACTTTGCATATAGTCTTCTATATGCTCTCACTGCTATATATGTCGGAACGGGCCGGATCGGACGACTATATCATATAGCTGCCATACAAATGTTCGATAAATTTTTAGAAAAAAATTATAACTTGGCTGTTTTTCAACATATGTGCACTATTTTTGACATATGATCATTTTATATTATTTTTGAATTTTGGTAAAAATTTTATGAAAATCGGACGACTATATCATATAGCTGCCATAGGAACGATCAGGAAATTAATAGAAAAAAATTATAACTTCGTTGTTTTTCAAACTATTTTTTTCTACTCTGGGATATAAGCTTATTTTATTAGTTCAGAATTTTGGTATAAATTTTATGAAAATCGGACAACTATATCATATAGCTGCCATATAAACCGATCGGTAGGTGTAGGGAAAATGTAAAACTGGGAATGTAAAACTGTAACTGTCAAACTCTCAACATAATAAGTATAGGTAAAATGCAATGAAATAATATCTGCAAGGGTATACAAACTTCGGCGTGCCGAAGTTAGCTTCCTTTCTTGTTTTTAAATATTTTTTTTAGGAGTGTAAGTTTTTCCTTTCTCTCTGTGGCAAAGTGGCAAAAAACGAGGAGATATCACCGGAAAGAGTTTGAGATCAGAGGAAAATCAAGGATCAAGGAATCAGAGTAGGGACCTAAAGAAATGTGACTACACAAAAAATATATACTTTTTAACTTAAAGAGGTACCAAATAACACTAATTATGGGATATATTTCCGCACCCTGCATGGGTATATAAACTTCGGCTTGCCAAAGTTCTTTTAAGATAATTGTAATTCCTTTTCCACCCAAGTAAAAACAAAAAAAAAAAAAACTAGATATAGATACTCCCTGCAGTGGATATAATGATCCAGTTGCATGACGCCATTTCATTGCTTTTCGGGGTAGCAACTTTTACTGCAGTTCAATCAACTTTCCGGCGGTGGACATTACCGTCCAGCCATTCCGTATTTTTGTCACGCCCCCGTTGGAGACCCCAACTTCCCGTTCCCCCGCTGGAATGACTGACGCAGACGACTTATCCATCACATCTCCCGGCCATCATCGTCATTGTCGTCATTGTCATCATTGTCATCATGATTGTCCCTTGGCCGCCATTGTCTGGGATTGGGATGCGAGCATAATGGGAGAGTAGCCGGAGTTGTATCTTTATTACGGTAATTGCTCATTGAACAGGAAATTATTATATGCGTGCGCTCCACATCCACCTCTCCGAGCTGAAGAGAGAGACAGGACCTGGCCGTTCCTGGATCTGGGTACCACGGCAGCCATAGGATGATGATAATAATAATAATGGCACACGGAAATGTGTCCGTTCACAAGTATACACACACATATACGCAGGCGGCACGCACACGGTTTGTGGGGGGGTGGGCACAGATCGATCGTATGTGTGTGTGTGTGTGTGTGTTGTCGTGTTCCTAGGCATCACCTGGTCTCACCACCTCCATGTCCATCTCCGGAACGCTGTCGCCCTCGCCCCTCTGCCCGGTGGGTATCGACGGCTCCCGTCTGTTCCACACAAACATACTATCGCCGGCTCCCAGTATCATGCCAACTCTTTGGCGGATGAGCAGGTGTCGCAGGTGGATCAGAAGCAATCGTACATGCTGCAGCGACACTAGGAGCGGATGCAAAGCGGGCACTGTGCGCATATCCGGTCCCATTGCCGTTTCCGTTTCCGCTGCCGCTGCTGCCATGGCCGCGGTCGTTATGCCGGCATCGTGCAGACGCTGTCGCAGACGACGTTCCAAGCGATCCGTTCTCAGGTGATTCAAGCGCGGCCGGAAGGGAAACATCTCCTGAATTTGATCTTTGTTTTTGAATTTCTGAGTATAAGATCGAATGTGTTTTCTGCCGGTTAAGAGTCGGACGTAAATGAATAACTGAAAAGTAGCAGCAAAGTTGCTTTGATTTCGAAATATTCTATACTATTTCAAGCTAAAAATTATCCTTGAAAGATCTTCAGGGATGAGCCTGTAATTTCCAAGGACTTAATCGGCTTGAAGGACTTTACCGGGTTAGCTAGTCCATCCATCTAGCCGACTTTACACTTGCCTACACATACTTGCTTACGCCTGATGCATATTTAATTAAACTTTCACCTCTTCAAAGAGCAGCAGCAGCAGCAGCAGCAGCAAAGGCAAAGAATCCTTGACGGGAGAGGACATGACAGACTGGGCGACAGAATGGGCGGCGACAGGAGTCCAAAACACTTTGGTCTCTCGCTTCAATCATTTCCTGGCAGCAAAGGCAGGTAGAAGGGTAGGATTCGACCTCCATGCTGTTCCAGGTCCTTTCTTCCTGGCATCACCAACCACCAACAACTGCAGGTCCTGTTTCAGTTGCTCCATGTTCCTGCGGCTGGAGGCTGAAGGCTGAAGGCCGTAGAAATACTTAAAAGCAACACGACAAGCTTTAATTAAATCAGTTTTAATTAATGCAAAATGCGAAATTTTCAAAAGACGTCGCCCCCAAAGTCGACGACAACATGGAAAACAGAGAGCCCAGGACTACATGGCATAGTCCTGGGTATGGGTCGAGAGTCCCGTTTTGTTGTCGCATAATTACAACTCAATTGTAATCCAATTTTGGCCAGGCCCAGATATAAATCCGATTCAGGCCTGCCCACCTCTCTCTCTCTCTCTCTCTCTGGTGTCTGTGTCAACTTTTTTGGTGTCAAATAAATAAACTTTTGACAGTCGGCAGACAGGCCGGCGGGGATTCCCCCACTCACCTTTTTTTGTGGGCGTGTGTCTCTGTGCACCGGAAATGTAAATTAGTGAAAGCCCTGACATTTTCCGAGGCTCTCTGTGTCCTTCCTGAAATCAATGTTTTAATACGCCCTGTGGTTCCCGTCGACGGGGAAGCTCTCGAACTCGGACTGGGAGAGAGCTCCGCTTGATAACTGCAAATTAGTTGCACATTTTCCACATGGGCCACAACTCAAAACAAGACGTGTTTGCACTAATTTGGCCAAAATCAACAGCTGTGTGTACATGTGCTGCTCCCTGGGCTGCTGTGTGTGTGTGTGTGTGTGGGCGAAGAAAACTCATCATAACTTTCTTATCAAAAACTTATTTCTGGCTCTCCCCTCAGATGATACCCAAAAGCAACGGCCGAACCAAAAATATAAGAAAAAGAAATAATAAAAAAAAAGAAAAGGAAAACGAGGAGAAAAATGAAACGAACAAAATTTTGGGGCGCAAAAACGAGAAGGAAAACAGAAAAATTGCCTAGAAAACTTGTTATAATTACACACTAGACAGGCAGGCAGGCAGGCAGCAGGCACGTGTGAGTGTGTGTGGGGAAAGTTTGTACACTCAGAGAAATAAGAAGAAGCCGAATGGATTAAGGAACAATTAGAAAAGCTTGGTTACTTTTGTTATCAAGCTGAAAGCAGGTAAAATGTTGCCAGGAAAATGGTAAATATTAGAATATTAAAAATATATTAAGTTAAACAAAAAAAGGAATACAAGCTTATTCCAAGAAAAATTTCCATTTAAACGTCTCCAAAATATTAGAAAAATATTCTGCATAAATCTAGGAACCAAAATATATTTAAATAAATTTTTTGTAGTGCAAAACTAAGTCACTGACTAACTGCAAGGGGCAAGGACTTTGGTGTGGAGCAGGGGCAAGGCATGCATGAGAGCAGGCAACATATGTTGGACTTTGGCGCAAACTTTTGGCGAGTTTTCGGGGACCACATCCTCATCTTTATCCCCAGCCTTTTAGCCTCATTCCCATGCCCATTCTCATCCTCATACCCATCCCCATCCCCATTCTCATCCTCATTCTCATCCTCATCGACAAGGATTCCCCGAGTGGAACGTGTGCGTTTTGTGGTTGAGTAAACGCACAGTTTAGGCCCAAAATGCAACAGCTGTGACCCCCTCCAAACTCCTTGTTGAAGTTATGCCGGCTGCTGCGATCCGTGACAACTTCCTTCACTAATCTCCCCGATGAGTCACGAGCAGATAATTGTTATGCCAAGCTGGGATTTTGGGGTTAAAGCTAGAACTGGGGTCAACAGGTGGCATTTAAATGAAATTAAAAATATTATTTTATAAGAGGAACTATTATTTAGTTTTTTAGGATCGGATTTATGTTAATTTTTATCAAATTAATAAGTCTGTATACTAGATTTAAATTTAATTTTTTACCAATTTTTGATCAATTTTATTTTATAAAATTTTGCATTAAAATTTTGTTTACTATTTTTGGGAAAAAAAAAAAATTTTAAAATCTATAACTCAGCCAAAAATTAATTAAATTTAATTTGGAACGCAGCGTTATCTTAGTTTTTTCTTTTAACCGAAAAAATCTGCATTTTACGTTTAAGATTTTTTTAATTAAACTTTTTCCAATTTTTTTTGTACAATTTAACGATAACCCCTTACAAAATTTTGAAAAAAAAAAAAGTTACAAAAATTATTACCCACCAGACATGGCTAAAAAGACTCGGCTTGTGATGCTGATCAAGAATATATATGACTTATAGGATCGGAAATGACTCCTTCACTGCGTTGCCAACTTTTAAATCAAATTATAATACCTTTCAAAGGGTATAAATATATATATTTCTATATATACATATATGTGCCTGGAAACAATCAAAACCCCAGCCACATGATGCCAACTTCTTTTCCTTTATTTTTTAGGTTTTTTTGTTTTTATTTTTGCAAAAAAACTGCAGAGAAAGCCTGGGAATTGTTAACGAAGGTTACCAGGCGGTGAGGACAAAAACGGATAAATACTCCCAAAAAGTGTAAGGAGCAAACTTTTGGGCCCACTTTTTGCCAGCAAAAAAAAAAAAAAAAAAAAAAAAGAAACCGAAGAACCAAACTGTTGGAAAATGCCTAAAAATCGTTTGGGCCAACAACAAAATAAATTTGCCAATGAAATGGGATTTCTGCCTGCTTGAAGGGCTGAGCAACAGCCCAAGGAGCAGGAGCGGGAGCTGGAACAGGATCTGAAGCTGGAGGAACCATGTGCTCGCATATGCGGGACACGTACTTGCGCTATAATTATTTCGTACGTGAGCACGTGAGCCGCCGGGAAAGACAATGCCAGCGAGTTGGGCAGGAGACAGCGGGGATCACCAGCCGGAGTGGAGTAGCGTCTAGCCGGAAGACGACATCGTGACGGCGCCGCCAAGCTTAGCATACTCACTCAGAGATGCCCCGAAGGCTACATTTACACTATTCCACACAGTTGAGATATATTCATTTGCTTTATTTGACAAACTCCATTATGTGATGATCACCTGCTTTATCATTAGCCCAAAAGGCCACCAAAGATAATAGTGTAGATGAACAGGACCTGGCATAACAAAGCCTTAAACTAGATTTTTGTATATCTTAGCCTTTGATATAACTCCAAAAATTATAACAAAGGCTTTTATGTTTTACGTTCTCTGTTTTTTGTGCGGTATATCTTTTGGTCAACCCAATTAATGAACAAAAATATAAATATATGCATACAAAAAATTGTCTCCACAACTCATCCAGGACATCATTAGCACCGCCTTGATCGGGGCAACCAACGGCGACCGCATGCCTCTTAATTCTCATAAAAGTCACATAAAGTAAATAAGTTTGATTATAAGCCAGAGAAAGGGGCAGACTCAGGAGAGACACCAAAAAAAGAGGGTGCAGTTACTTAAAACACTGAGAGAAAGTTAGACAAAAACTCTACAATTCCATTAGGAAGAACGGAAATTTAATTTAATTTTATATTAATAAAATTATATAAGTTTGTGTTTATTAAATCTAAATTCTGTATTATTTTCCTAAATTAAATATTTTAATCAATTATTACACAGACTTCTCCTTCAGTATTTATGAAAACTGGACATAAATGACCAGGAGTTTCAGTTGCAGGCGAAACCTCAACCCAAAACAGATCCTGGCTTTGGCAGTTGTCGCCGCCGCCGCTGGAGTAATTAACATTCACAATGAAAATGAAAACGAGCAACTCGGCAACGGTCACTGGGCTCTCTCCGACTGGGTTTTGTGTCTCACTGCGAGCGTTAAAAGTTTTTAATAACCCGCAACAACAAACATGGCAAGGACGACCGAGGACGAAGGCACAGAGCAACCGCCAACAGCCACAATAATGACACACACACACACAAAAGTTTGACAATGTAGTCGTGCGTGCAACTCCCCTTCCCTTCCACCCAGTCAAAGTCCAAGTCGAAAGGCAAACCCAATCCCAGATCCCAAAAACCCATACCCATACCCTATACCCTTTCCCGCATCATTTCCCACACCCAGCGGAAAAGGATTTCTGCCACAACGAAAACAGCAATGAAAACCACAAAATGTTGCCCGTAGCTTTGCTCACACAGGGAGAAAATCAAAGTCATAAAGGATAATAAAATGTACCTTTTCTTTTTGTATAAATTAAAAAGAAAAATTTAAGTAAAATAATAATATTGTATAATTAAAAATAAAATTAAATTTAAACTTAAAATATGCATCAGTAGGAAGTCTTTTTTTCGAACAGTGTCGAGGTGTGTGTGTGTGTGTGGGGGTGGTGTTACGCGGCCAGCATACGCAACATCAAATTGCTGACCGCACACACACACAACACACACACACACACTCGAACGGGCATTCAATCGCATCGAGTGAGCAACAATTGAAGCGGTTTTAAAATAAACGAATGCGGCTTATTACGGCCCACACACACACACAGTCGCAGAAACACACACATACGCACAATAAAATAAATGTCAAATTGAAATTGACATCCTGTGACAGCAGCCGCCAGGAGCAAGCATACGCGGAGGTGTAAAGAGCGTTTGGCTCTGGCCCCCGGGGCGAATATCGACTACGGATGAGGATGTGGATATGTGGATGATGCCCATGGTCA